TCGTACCTTGCGCTACCTGGAGGCAGCCTACATACGGCGGTCAAAACCTGACAAACGTAGAATTGGCTACTTCTATGGAGTAAGGACCTCCTAGACGGAGTGCAGCCATCTCTGTCAGCCAGAGTCCTATTGAGTTCGGCTCCCCCCGCCGCACAACCGTGTTGTCATTCCAGCCAACCCGGGTTCCCCAGCAGTAATTTCCAGACAAAAGAATAACCTTACGAAAGTTTAGGTGATACTGCTTTTAACACTTGAGTACATTCTTCTCTCAACTGTGCGCAGACTCAGAAGGGCGGCTCCCAACACTCATGCTAGGCGCGGTATATCTCTTCGTTTTTTTTCTTCAGATCATCATCTCAGCCCCACCGCCGATGACAATCGGGACGACGAGGGAGATGTCGTGATGGATGACCCGACCACGATGACAGTCAATACTAGTGTATCACACAAATCTCAACCTACCCTCCTTTCCGACGACGAAGAAGAGGAGGACAGGGACGCCGCAGAACAACGACCCGGTAGTGTTGTGCCCGGTTCAGAGTATGTGACCAAGTTGACATCAAGCGCCGTAAGCTCTCCTGATTTGGGCGTCCTGGTAAGCCTGCTGGTTACCTCCATCGGAATGTTTAAACGCTAGCTCTTCTCCCCCGTTCCCCTGCCTCGGCGGGCCTTTATCTGAGGGCTTCTCGACACAACCATCACGTCTGCCTCGCCCCTTTACCCACACACCAGTCTCAATACAGGGCAGGATGGGCCATTCATCCAGTCCTCCAGACCGCCCCCATCAGCGTGTTTGTGTTTGCCTGTGTGTCTTCCTTTCTGCCTTGAGATACCCTTTTTCTCTCTCCCCCACTCCTCTCCTGTTCGTGGATCTCCACCCCTCCTCTCTGATTTTTATCTCCTTATCTCTTCTCCTCCTCCGCTCCCGCGTGGCTGATGACCTCGACCGACCAATCAGAGTGGAGTACCAGACCTGCGTGCTCCCACTTCGCCTGCTGGAGGTCTTACCGAAACCGAATTCCGCACGCTCTTCCGTGGCCTACCGCCGCACATTAAGCAGGCTGAAATTGTAAGTTTACAATCTGTGTCTCTGTGTCGCATTGGAGTTGTTTTTTGTCATATCTTTTTTGTTGTTCTGCAAGCGCCGGTCGCAGGGCTGTCCTCTGATTGAATTCCATCCCCGTTTCAGTCGAATTAACTGCCACTGCTCTTCAGTAGGGCAGTTGGTCAGTAGCTTACGTAAACTTTCCATAAATTATCACCAGGCGAGTACATTTATAGGGGAAGGGGGGGGGGAGTACAAGTTAAACACGCGGTCAATAATATTAGTCTGGCCAATACAAGCGAACAGGAGAGTCCTAGGAAGTAACTGAGAAGAAGACGACTCCATCGCTGGGACAACAGGATCTAGTGTATTTTTGGACAAAGCAACTGTGTCTGAGAACCTGGCAAACTTCTCAAGACGCGAATTGCCGAGCACGCGGCAGCAGTGCGACGAAATGATGCCCATGCCTAATTTGCGTCTCATTCGACGAGACCCGGTTACACATTCAAATTTAATGAGGCCTAAATTTTTGCAGTTGACAACCGTGTGAACCGAGAATTACTTGAGTCATGGCCCACGGGCCCCCAATCTATGAAGAAGTGCAACGATTTGCCCAATCCATATTCGGTGCTGAGACTTAATTTGGCCA